ATCAAATTTTCTCTTTTTTCATCTATTCTCATTTCTGTTAATGCAAAAAAAAATTTCGCATTCACTTTTTATTATTTATTTATTTTCTTTTTTTTTTTCATTTTATTATATCTAATGGAAGATATGAACTGTCATCTTATTTCCATTGTCCAATATGCCTCATATGTTATTAGTAGGTATATCACGAAATTATTTGTTTTCGAAGTTTTACTTGTTATAAATTTTGATTTATACAAATAATATAGCAAAGGATATCAGTTAGAATAATTTCGAATTAATAATTTTTCCATTGAAATTTTATATTTTTATAGTTTAAAAGTGAAAAAAGAAAATAAAAGTAATAAAGTTTCAATTTTCAATCAAAATTGATAAACTTACTTTTGGGAAAAGTATTGATGGATTTATTTCTGCCAATTTAACTTTTCATTCCATTCTCACTTCAATTTCTTTACTTCCTGTTTGTTTTTTCCCAGGTTATTTTTTCGTTTCTCTTTTTTTTTGGTGAAGTATTACTCAAATAACCTTTGATTGAAATTATTATTTTTTCGATATAATGATTTCGGATTATTTGAATTAATAAATTTTTCCATTAATTTTGTCTTTTGTCATTTGAGAATGTTACTTTCTCAGATTTTCTTTTTTGAATTATTCCGAAGAAGTGAACTGCATCCACTTAGTATACACAAACACACTCATGCAGTACACATACCTTATACAGACACACTTAAGTACAGATACGCATACGTACACGCAAATAGATACACGTAAAGATTATTTGAATTGGTCCTTTCTCATAAATATTCAAATTCCATTGGATAAATATTACATTTTCTCGATATCTTTTAGGATAGAATATACTAGAACTATTTAAATGCAAATGGCATAGCTTATGCTAATGCAAAATTTTAACGAATAATTTGAATTGAATCATTTCAATCTTGTCAAAATCTGCAGCTTCTCTCAGCTTTTTATGATATCCATATCCTGATGAATTTGACAAAATCATCATTTATTATGCATATCGATTACCAATGTTTGCAGCCGGACTTGTTAATTATTAATACTTCTCATTAGTAATTGATAAACAGAATAATAATAATAATAACCGAATGGTGGAGTATTTAAATTAATTATATGTGTTAAATTTCATTCTTTAATAAAAATTATTCGTAATTTAGAATTTTTTAATGTAATATTTATTATTTGTAAAGAAATTATTTGTGATATTTGATGCATTTTCCATAGAATTAGGTTCAGTTTTTTTTTCCTTTTTTTTCCATCGTCCATTTTTCCTTTTACATTCGTTTTCATTAAGTTAAATTAGAATATTAGCTATGTGTATAATTAATTAATTATTATTATTATTAGGATGATCAAAAATCAAATTGAAGAAAGAGAATAAAAATGATTGAAATCGGAAAGTTTTATAAATTTAGAATGAAAAATAAAGCAGTATATAGTGAGTGGCTAAAATTCTGAGATGGAAGAGGTAAAAATCGATTGAAATTTCATGTGAAATGAAAATTCTAAGAAATAAATTTGCAAATAACAAATATCAATGATGATCATTTGTCATGCGATAGATAAATCAGAAGATGACTTAGAAAAAGTGGAAGCATTTGATAAAAAAGAGAGAGAGAGAGAGAGGAGGAGAGAGGAAGGATGA